TTTTTGGGGAGGAGGGGGGAAGGGGGAGCAATGTGCTTTTTCTGTCTTAAAAACAATCAACCTTTGGGGTGAGAAACCCCGGAGAGCCCCAGGGCTGAGTGTACGGGCGCCAGGGCTGGGGCTCAGAACGCGCAGAATGCGCCGGCAGAGCGCTGCCGCGGAAGCTCCGTGCGTAATGCACGAGGCACATCAGCTTGGCTCACGCTCGCGTAGCTGGGCTGGCTTTGCAGAGCCGGTTTTTCTGTCTTAAAAACAATCAACCTTTGGGGTGAGAAACCCCGGAGAGCCCCAGGGCTGAGTGTACGGGCGCCAGGGCTGGGGCTCAGAACGCGCAGAATGCGCCGGCAGAGCGCTGCCGCGGAAGCTCCGTGCGTAATGCACGAGGCACATCAGCTTGGCTCACGCTCGCGTAGCTGGGCTGGCTTTGCAGAGCCGGTGGGATGCAGACAAGCCTGTGTCAGTGGGAGCAGCGCAGCTGACGGGATGTTCAGGCAGCAAAAATGTTGTGCGAGAAGGGACCGTATTTACATAGTTGCTTTTCTTCCCGTAACAACACTTAAATGACCAAATATTTAGGAAAGGCCAAAGGCATTGTTTACAGTACAAGCTATTTTCTCCCATAGCTAGAATGGGTCAGGCATTGGGAATGCGTAAGAGGAGAGTCAGAACAGCGTAGTTACAACCAATTTGGGTACGTCTACACTAGCACCCTAGATCGATCTAGGGAGGCTAATGAGGGCGACCGAAATTGCAAATCAAGCCAGGGATTTAAATATCCCGCGCTTGATTTGTATGTTCCCTGCAGGTCGCCATTTTAGAAATTGACTAGCCCGAAGTAACTGCCTGCGTCTACACACGGCAGTGACACGGGATTCCGATTTAAAGCCCTAACTCGAATTAGCTGGTATTCCTCCTGCAATGAGATTTACCAGCTAATTCGATTTAGGGGCTTTAAATCGGAATCCCGTTTCACTGCCACATGTAGACCCGGGCAGTTACTTCGGACTAGTCAATTTCTAAAATGGCAACCAGGAACATGCAAATCAAGTGTGGGATATTTAAATCCCGGGCTTGATTTGCAATTTCGGTCGCCCTCATTAGCCTCCCTCGATCGATCTAGGGGGCTAGTGTAGACATACTCTTTGATGCTACTATTAAGGAAATCTATCAGTGATTTGCTTTTATTCATTCCCTTCCATTTGCTCCGTCCTTCCACAACTAGCTCCGCTGTTAGCCGAAATCAGACAGCCCGGTTCTGGCTCTGCTCCCCCTTTACACGGGTGTAAAATCAGGAATAACTGTGACGTTGGGGGGAAGGTGACAGCAGACTCCTGCCCTAAGCCTTTCTACGGCTCATCCCTTCTCTGGATCAGATTATCCAGGGAGCACTTGGCGTTGCAGTTGTGGCCTTGCTCCCGAGCAGCGCTGAGCGCTTTCAACCTGACAAGGCGTGGGGGCTTTCAGCAGCTCTTGGACAGTGCTCAGGCCTTGGCAGGAGAGCATCCGCAGTAACAGAACAACATAAGAGCAGCCACACTGAGTCAGCCCAAAGGTCCATCCAGCCCAGTGTCCTGTCTGCCAACAGAGGCCAATGCCAGGTGCCCCAGAGGGAGGGGACACAACAGGGAATCATCAAGTGATCCCTCCCCTGTCATCCATTCCCAGCCATTCTGACAAACAGAGGCTACGGGCACCATTCCTGCCCATCCTGGCTCTCAAGTATTGATGGAGCTAACCTCATGAATTCTTTTTTAAACCCTGTTAAAGTCCTGGTCTTCACAGTATCCTCTGGCAAGGAGTTCCACAGGTTGACTGTGCGCTGCATGAAGAACTTCCTTTTGTTTATTTTAAACCTGCTGCCTATTAATTTCATGTAGTGACCGCTAGTTTGTAGGGTGGTTAGAGTCTACAGTTAGACACAAATGCCTGCACTAGGCACATGCTGCTCTGCATGTCTCCTCCAAAG